GCCGCCATGGCCTGGCCGCCGCGGGGAGGAGCCGGCGGGGCCCTGCCCCCGCCGGGAGGCCCTGACCCGGTGTCCTGCCGGGAGGAGGATGCCTGCGGGGAACCGGGAGACACGGTGCCCCACGGGTTCGTATGGCGATGAGAGAGCGTGGGGAGCGGGATGGAGAGAGCCGGTCGGTAAGATTTTGTGTGGTTTTAAGAGAGGGGGTTGTGCAGAGGATCCGTCTGACAGCAGCAAGCAGAACGGCTGTGTTTCCCGTCACTGCTCCGGGAAGTCCGGCTCTGGCCCAGCCGCACACTGACATGATCTACTGACCAGCACCACAGTGGTGTGAATTAGTTAAAACTCTCTTTATTGAATCTCGGTTTTGTTTCCAGGATCTTTGTCTCGCCAAAATCAAAGACTCTTTTCCTGAATAGAGAGAGGACTCTGACCTAAAAAAAAGGCGGGGGGAGGGAGGAGAAACCCCTACGCCATGCAATTCTGCTCAGTTTTTGAGGCCTCCTTGTGCACACAAACGCCAAATACCACACAGGGGGCAGTCAACCAAGTCAAAGGTGCTTGTTCATTCCCTTTTCAGAGTGAAACGACATCCAAAAAGTCAAAACATCCAATAAAAAAACATTCTGCATTATGAACAATTTAAAGAAAACATCAAAATCTTTGCCTTACAGCTTTAAACCACACCCTGCGTAAGAATTATTACAAATGTTTATTAGCGAGAAGCTTTTCTAGAGGAACCGTGCACAAGCAGAGGAGCTCAAGGCCAGCTGCTTGGTGCTGACCACCAGACCTCGCTACAACAGAGAAGTAGTTGTTTACAATTAATTCCTGTTGGTTCTTGAGTGACAGTCGGTGTCCTGCAGGAAGGGAGCTGGGGTTCCACAGGGAAGGGCCTGTGCTGTGGAGCAGGAGGGCAGCGATGCCCCAGACCCTGGCCTGGGCACTCCCCCACCGCTGCTTTGTCCCGGCAGGGATCTGCACACTCAGCAGGGAGCGTTCAAGCACAGCTTGCTCTCCATGCAAGGGGCTAGGAGCCCACCACCCTGTGCGCACTCACTAGAACTGTTTCTGAATCTGGCACTTTCTAGGGAGAAAAATAAACAGTGAGGGGTGAACCACAGGTTCTGCTGGTCAACAGGCATATCTTCAAACTGAGCACCTTTGGATACCAGCAGGTGACTTTCTGATGAGAAGTATCTTGCTAACCACAGCTCAGTCTTCTCTTATAAATCATTCCTGTGTGCTTGGCGGGCCCCGGGTGGAGGAGAAAGCCTTCAGAACAACGTCTCACCTGTCTCAGCAGAGATGTATACCTCTTCCCAGGTATAATTGCCTAGGTTCACAGGCTGCTTCAGCCAACAATCCTCTACTAACATCGCTAGAGTCATGCGCTGCTCTGGGACAGGATGCAAAAGCTCAGCGATGAGATCCATGAGACCTGGGGAGAGACAGCAGTAAAAGGAACAGCTCAGGCTGTATTTTAGGCATGCTGGGAATGCAAGATATGGCTTACATTCAAAGAATGCAGATTTTAATTACAAATCCTCCCCGTTAATCCTTTGTGCGGTACTGTTCCACCACAGTCTTAGTCACATGTGCTCAGCTCTGGCAATGATCTTGAGAGTTCCAGGTTGTGAAAACAGAGACCGGAGAGCAGAGTTATGACACAAAGAGGACAGAAGTAGAAGCAGGTGCCACAGAGGCAACCCTGACTCACTGGTCCCAAGCCCACTCTTGTCCCGCAGTTGCCCCGCATTTGATCTGTGGCTAAAGGTGCACTCAGGGTTCAGGGAAAGCTTCCGGAATTTCCCAGTCAATTGCAGCACCCTGAAGCCTTATAACCATAGTGCTTCTAAGGACCCCCGAGATCTTGATGAAGATTTCTTTAGCCTGACATGCCATTAGTTTTCTATACCTCCAACAGAAAACAAGGCCAGTGTACTTCTGTGACACCAAGCTATAGAATTCATTCAGAAATTATGTTAACACATTGTCATCCATCCCAGAAATAATGCGGCATCGATTGGCTATTGTTCAAGTGAGATAAAACTTGCGTTAGCATAACAGGAGTGCCATTATTGATCTTTAAGTTTTCTGCTAGAATGAACCTTCCCATTATTTGTTCTGGCTTCCTCAGCTACAAACCTCACTGAAACTTGACAAGCTGATAGGTTGAGTCATCAGAATAAATGAGAGGCCTAATGAAACTAATGAACTAATGAAACATAGGGCCGATAGCTGTATTCATCATAGGCATGAGGAACTGCAGAACTTACCTGAAAAGGACAGCTTGGATAACTCTGCTTCAGTAAGCAGCTTTTCAAATCACTGCAGAGCACACCTGGAAGCATTTTTGCAGTCTTACCCTTTATTTCCAGGGAATAAATGCTGCTCATAACTTTCCCAAGGAAGTTTCCTTTTAGAAAAGCCAATGAGAAAAAAATTCACCTTTTGAGACAGGCCAAGGAGGATTCAGGATAGCTGCCATGGCCTCCTCCAGCTCACAGAAGGGATTCTCTCCAAACACCAGGGTATAAAGGGTGACACCAAGCGACCACATCTCCAGCTCAGGGCCCTGGTACCTACACAGAGATAAATTTGCCTAAACTCAGATTGCAAATATGTAATTGCATGCCGAAGAAATGAAAAAGAAAAAAAGGCAGCTGACAGTTCCAATTTTTAACACAGGAAGTTTGTGAGAATTCTCATAAAGGTTCTTGCATGTTTTTGAGAAGTCTGTATTATCCTTCCCTCTGAAAGAAAAAAACAAAGAATGACCAACCAGTTTCAGTTGATGAGTATGTATAATATGCACCTAGACTTCCACATGCGTAAGCTGGTGACAAGAGAACTTAAGCCTCTTCCTCCACCACAATCCAAAACTATCAAGTAAATATTTGAATGGAAGATGAGACACTTCAGTTGAATCCCATCTGCCCCCTCCCATGCTTTTCAAAACAAAAATTATTTGGAAATCATAGAATGGTTTAGGTTGGAAAGGGCCTTGAAGATCATAGAGTTCCAACCCCCCTGCCATAGACAGGGACACCTCCCACTAGACCAGGTTGCCCAGGGCCACATCCAGCCTGGCCTTGAACACCTCCAGGGATGGGGCCTCAACAACCTCTCTGGGCAACCTGTTCCAGTGCCCTACCACCCTTAAAGTGAAAAACTTCTCCCTAATGTTTAATCTAAACCTGCCCTCTTCTGGTTTAAAGCCATTCCCCCTCGTCCTATCGCTACATGCCCTAGTAAAAAGTCCTTCCCCAGCTCTCCTGTAGGACCCCTTTAGGTACTATTAACTATCTAGATCCCACCTGAGAAAAAGGGACAGTTTCTTCACACAGCGAAAGGCTGAATTCCCAGGGCAATGCTGCTTCAGCTTCTACCCAGTTGCCAGCAGGGCTTTCCTCTCCTCCTTGCATAACTTCCCCCCCCCACACCCAACCCCATTAAGAGAACCTGCCTGAAGGACCCGTGAAAACAGCTATGAAATGAGAGCAAGATAACCTACTTGTACGTACAAGTCACGTTAACCACCCTGTGATTGTAAGGAGTGGGTATGAGTTTGCCAGCCTCCAAGTAGAGAGCACTCAGGGAAGGAGAGAACAGGGAAAAGGCAGCTGAGATTTGGGCAGCACATCCAAGACAGCAGCAAGGCAAGCTGCGAGGGAAGAACCCTTGAGTTCAGAGGAGCAGAAAAATCGATGGGGAGATGAACATTGATCAAACTACAAAAATTCATACAGGGAAGCAAATAGGAAAGAAGGGAACAGACGAGATGAGAGCAGGGGAAGTACAAAACACAGACATGGTAAGGGGCAGACGCTGTCCAGCAATCCTTGCTTATACCACCTCTCTAAAAGAGCAGCTTTTAATAGAGACACATCAACATGTTCATATGCAGGTATGAAGAGAAGGTTAGTCATGAAAGATTAAGGAAAAAGGACACATTCAAGTCACAACACAACTCATCCAGACTTCTATCAGACTGGAAATGAAAATCAAAGGCTTGTTCTTGAACTCAGCTCTGCAGTAGGACAGACATTAGCGCAAGGCTTTGCAAAACATATGACTGGAATAATAAAACTTGTCAGCAGACTTAGTCAGAAACAACTTTGTATGTATTCAAGCCTTTACAAATAATTTCTATCACTGCAGCGCCCTACTTTACATGCATTCAAACCTTTACAAGTCATTTCTGTCACTGCAGTGCCCTAAATCTCACTGCAGTTTTCCATGGCCACATACTCTAGCAGAGCACCAATGGCAAAGCAGCTTCTCTACTCCAGCCCTGCAGGCACATTATTTTGGTGCGATGGACACAAAAATTACTTTTCAGAGGGTGACATACGGTTTGCCAGACAGCACTTCTGGTGAGCAGTATTCAATTGTCCCACAGAAAGTATAAAACAATTTGCCGGGTTCCAGGTAGGCAGCTGAACCAAAGTCCACTAATTTAATTGTGAAATCTTCAGCAATGACAATGTTTTCATCCTTGATATCTCTGTGAAGGATGTTTCTACAGTGGAGATACCCAACAGCTGATACAAGCTGAAAGAGGAGGAAAGAAGTAGGTGTTACTACACAGAGGTGTCCTTCTGCATAGTCTATGCGGCATCAGAGAGTTCTGATAGCCACATTTTGGCACTATATAAACAAGATATAAATCCTAATTTTGGTAACTGGAAACAAACTCAAATGCCTGTCAGCATTGCTGCAGTGGGTGTTACAATGCTCTTGGGACAGACTTAAAAAAGCCTTTGCTTGCTTTTCTCTCACAAATGTGCAGGAGGATGGCATGCTACAGTCACGATGCACTTGGTTTTTTTTTTTGGTTAGAAGCATCAGAGCTTACTGTTACAATCCTGCAGGTTACTCTATTTTTATCCCAGCTTCATTTGAAGGGTCCTTTTATTTCTCCAGAAGGATGTTACTGTGTACCTCCAATACTGCAGGATGACAAAGCATTTAAGAGTGAAGTTTGGTATAAATAAAATAGTCACTCCTAAATTCCATTCTTCTTTCTGCACGATTTCAAGCTATAGTGCCGTAATTATGAATAGCATCTGAATTATATCACCTTGGAGACAATCGTGCTCCCTACCACAATACATTTGAGCAAGAAAAGCAGATGGCTGAGGGAGAAGTTTCTATTTATAATAGAAATTCTCTCTCTGCAGAGAAATGGTGTACAGGTCTGAAGTAAAAAAAGCACCCCTGCAAACTCAAGGGTGGTTTAGGAAAAGGGCTTGTCCATCAGAAGTCTCTAAAGGGACCACAGAATGCAATTTATGAATGCATACAACAGACAGAGAAGGTGCATCTCTTTGGCTATCGTCTTCCATCAGTGGACCAGCTGAGGGGAGTGTGGACACAGTGGTGGGCTACCACATGCAAAATAATTCTTGCATACCTTAGAGCAAGGAATTTACTCCAAAACATGTGAGGGGGAACCACCTGGGGACTGCTGTTGTGGTTAACTCAGGAACAAAGGACAGCTCTTGGGCAAGGTTCTAACTCACAGTAAACTACTTTGAGTTATTTTGCATTATGCCATGTTAAATTTCAAGATAATTTCTTGACTTTAAATTCCTTAAAAAGAGGACAGCCCTTTACCCCTGTAACCAATCTAAACCAAGCATTGATCTAAGTGAAAGTGCGGCTTTTAGTGAGGCTTGGGGCAACTTCCGTGTGCTTTCCTCCTCCCACAGGGGAAATATGACTGCTACATGAATGGGCATCCTGGTGACCAGGGATGTGTGCTGCTACAATCACAGCCAGGAGCTGATGGCTCTACAGGAAATCCTGATATGAAGTTAGGTCCTTTAAAGGTTTTTTTTTGTTACAGGTTTCTAAGTAAACCTTAAGGTTTCTGCAGGTAGCATTTCAGTTAGCTGGAAGTCAGCCCTACAGAATATTGAGGAAAAATTCTGCAGGTACTGAGCAGGACTCCAATTCAGCATGCCTGCTGATTAGCCAGTAATTCTTTTGAGCAAAATAGGGTCCCAATCCTAACATTAACCAAATCTTACCTGCATGTAGCAACTGCACATTCCCAGCTCTCACCTGTCTGAATATATAGCTCGCTAATGGCTCATCCAAGTTAGGCTGATTATCAATGAATGTAAAAAGATCCAGTCCAGATCCATGCTTCTCCATTACCAACTGGAAGAAATGTTCATTTTCAAATACATCCAGCACCTATAAATAACAGACTTTTTAATCATGTGCTTCATCCACAAACTGCCTTTTTTTCTTTTAAACAAGCACTGTTCTCCTCTTGGAGATTTAATCAATGGGTATTAAAATCTTTGAAGTCTCATTTCACTGAGTACAAATGTTTCTTGAAAAGACAGCATAGTTAAAACTGAGAGCAGAATTAAAACCAAGAGGAATTCTCTTTCTGAGAAAACAAAACGAAACAACAAACACCACAACAACCCCAAAACAAAGAAGAGGAATTGAGATATGTATCCAGATTATTTACTGAACTAGTACATGTTCAGATGTGGCATCACACTTCCAAGATATGCATCCTATCATCTTGAAATAACATATAGACTTTTTCTTCTGTTAGAGTCACACCTTCAGATCTATGTTTACATCAATTGTTTGGGGTAAAAGTGTCAAAGCAAGCGATAGTCTGCTGTAACATACCCTCTAAAACAAAGCAGGATGGGTAGTTTCCTTTCTTTCTGGATAAGATAGATTTAATACAGGACAATTCCTCAGCCCTGAGGAGGAACACAAGATGCCAAGTATTCAAAGGAACCACCTGATGCAGTTCCAACTGCATTCACTCTGAGTTCACTGTACCTTAATGATACTGGGGTGCTGCAGCTTCAACAGGATTGCTATTTCTTGAGTAACTCTTCCCAGATCAGGATCATTTACCCAGCAGTCCTCAAGCACCCTCTCCTTCCAGATGAACTTTACAACAACCTACACAGACAACAGCATTCAGCATCACCTGCAAAAGTATGGCTTTAAGTGTTTGGTAAGTTAATTTCCAGGAAAAAAAGGTTAGTGAATCATATTACTAGAAGGACAGAAGTAAGCCAATGTGCATTGTTTATAGTATCTTTAAACATATTTTAACTAATTTAGTCCTAGAAGTCAAATGATGCACAGAAGTGGAAGATATTTATTTTCTTTTTATTGATGCTCTGAATTCCAAAGGCATTGACATTCCAAAGGCCAGCTTTCTTATCAACCCAATTACAGCAGTGGTGACTTCTGGCACAGGTGGTAGAGTGGAGGGAAATGAGCACTTAACATGCATGCAGGAAAACACCAGAGCTTGTCTCTCAACACCCAAAATACTTCTGCTGATAAAGAGGAGGGTCCCATAACCTCAACATGTCTGCTCTGCATTCTTGAGTCGTGGCACATTAACACTTTCAAGTTTGTCGTTCTCTTTAGTAAAGGAAGAGTAAAACCTGTAATTCTGTTAAGATTAATGTATACTTCTTTCAACAGGTTAAATTAGCTACATAGTCAGTCTCATTCTGTGCCTGTTGCCTTAGGTAACATTCATATACTACACCAATGCGAACATTTTGATGTCCTGTTTCCATGAGGTTAGTGATTTCAGATTTCTGTTTAAACAAAGTACTGGTGAGGCCACAAGTGGAATACTGTGTCCAGTTTTGGGCTCCCCAGTTCAAGAGGGACAGGGAACTGCTGGAGCAAGTCCAGCGAAGGGCAACTAAAATGATTGAGGGATTGGAGCACCTCCCTTATGAGGAAAGGCTGAGAGAGCTAGGACTCTTTAGCCTGGAGAAGAGAAGGCTGAAGGGAGACCTTATTATGGCATACAAGGATCTAAAGGGTGGGTTGAAGGAGGATGGAGCCAGACTCTTTTCAGTGGTTCCCAGTAACAGGACGAGGGGCAATGGGCACAAGTTGGAACATAGGAAGTTCCATTCAAATACACGGAAAAACTTCTTTATGGTTAGGGGGACAGAGCACTGGCACAGGCTGCCCAGGGAGGGGGTGGAGTCCCCTTCTCTGGAGATTTTCAAGACCCACCTGGATGCAGTCCTGAGTAATGTGCTCTAGGCAATCCTGCTTTAGCAGGGGAGTTGGACTTGATGATCTCTAGAGGTCCCTTCCAACTCTGAAGATTCTGTGATTCTGTGAAAGGAAAACCCCAAACTACCGAATAGCACCTTTTAATAGCATAGTGTTGACAGAATATGAACACCCTAACCTTTCAGCTTTCATCCTAAATAATTATTGCAATGAGATCTAAAATTAAATATTTAACCTCCTGGTGATCTTTCTTGCCCATGGCAGTCCAGACAAAGCCAAAAGATCCTTTGCCAATAAGACTGAGAGTGTTGTAATTTTTTGCATATTCTCCCTCACATGCCCTTAATCTTTCAAGCTCTTCAGCTCTTCGGGAACTTTCAAAAAGTGAAGCTGATCTGATGGCCTAGTACAGATTAAAAAAAAAAAAAAAGAAAGAAAAAAATGAGTAAGCCACAGAATCATGTTTATAAAATGAAGTAAATACTGAAAAGAAAGTACGCATCTGCAAGAATAGCTAAAAGGAGTGATCTTTGGTTTTGATAGCAAGAACTGCATGTTGATGTATCCATCACCATAGGAGACAAGTTAAGCCAACAGTCAGCTCTCAGCAGCTACAAATACTGCTTAATTCAGAGAAAGGTAAAGAAAACAGATGCATACGCATCTTAGATGCTCGCACAAATTCCCTGTGTGAGTAGGAGAATTAATTCATCGTAGTCTATCACCAAGTGATAATTTTATTTGATGACTAAGAAGTAGGTTACTTTCAATATTGTATTTTTTCTAGGTAATTGTATTCTAGATGGACACAACATTTTCCTCTACAGCCTTGGTCAAAGTACTGTCAGTTTTACGTCCCACTACTGACCAAAAAGCTGGCCTGAGCAGTTCTGTGTTTGGCTTTTATAGCATTGACATGTACCTACTGTTCAGCTATGCGGTGTTAGCTTTCTGTACACCATCCCGACTGTAGCATCTCAGGAGGCAGCTAGAAACTGCAGTTTTATTTTGTTGACACAAGTCAGTCAATGAAAGTTTTCAGCCTAGTATTTCCTTTTTTAATAGCGTTGTGTCATTGGTGCCAGTGTGATTACATTAATTTAAAAATTAATCTCACCACACTGGTGCAAACCTCTATTGTAGATGTACTTAAGCCAGCCTAAGAACAAACTTAAAATTGTTTTCATTCTTCAGGCTGGAACTAAGCCAAACATACACTACCATAAATGTTATAAAATAGCAATGTGTCCTTTTTACAGCAAAGAAACATTTCTTTTGACATAAAAATAGGGAAGCAAAGAAACAGCAATATCTGCCCACCATCTGGTGACCTTATTATAATTTGAAACACTTGTCAACTTTAGCTTCATCTTAACAGTCAAACATGAAGAGAAATGCTCAATATTACACAATGGTAGAATTTCTTACTTCTCCAAGACTATGTGTAGAAAGATCTGCAACAGACTGAGCAGAGCTTGCTAGACTGGAGAGCAAAAGCTGAGTCTTTGCTACAGCTTCCTTCTGGCTCTGTAGAAGGTCTTTCACCACCCAGACACAGAAAAGTATGGCAGGGTCCTGCAGCTCTACACGTTTCACTTCAAAGAGGATACCTGCAGAAAGACGTGAGGAAGTTAAAACAGTAGAATGAAACTTTAGTGTTGCACAAGACCACAGACATCTTAGGACAAAATTCTGAGCTCTTTAGAAAGTGAATTCCTCCATTGTTCATTTGGGGAACACCTACTCAATAAGGAATCATCAGAGGGGCTGACAAAAGCACAGCTATTCTAGAGGTACTTGGCAGCTACTCCCCATCCCCCAGCAGACACTTCTGTCAGTGTCCAACTGTGATTATTAATTTCACATTGTTATTCTAAATTACATAAAGATGGTGATTTTATACAACAAGCCACAGAATCCAGCTAAAGGAGTGAATGAAACACATTCCATTACACAATTTAAATACAAGTTATACAATGGAGTTTATATTTTCTGTTCCAAAGTTATCAGGTTATTGTGTTTTAAGAATATTTCTGACTATTCAGTCTGGATTAATTTCTTAGTAACTTTGTATTTTATACCATCTGCTTTTCCAGTAACCTCTGAGTAGACTTAAATGCCATTTTTTCTTTTAGATGCTAGAGCATCTTCCTTCCTCTCCACTGTGAGCTTCTAACCAGAATTGACTGTTTTTGGCAAAAACGTGGGCTAAAAAGAGCATCCTGATAAGAGTTTTTGGAAAAGGAGAAATAGGTTTAACTTACTTAATTGTGAACCGTCTCTATGACAGCAATTCCCAGTGTAGCTGCCTTCCAGAATCTCCAAGGTCAAAGGAGCTGCTGGATGCAGCCTTCCTTCTTGTTTCATGGGGGTCGATGTTAATTTTATCTCCATATTTTGCTGCCCATGCAACTGATAGTCTTCTTCGGGACTGCCTTTGCTTTTCAGTGGGTTTCTGTTGACGTTGTCCCCCACTGTCTCTGCAAGAGTTTCAGGCTTCTCAAGAAATGCTTGGGAGGATTCTTCAGAGTTTTCTAAATGCCTTTGGGAGGCCAGCCACCCAGAACCATGTTCTACGGCAACACCATTCAACGGTTGCTTTTCTTGCCCAGTTGAAAAGGCACTGTTTTTCTGAGTTAGCATACTGCCTACAGCCAAGTTCACTGCATTAGAGGAGGATGTTCCTACAAGAGCTGCAGTAATACCTAAATGACTGTCTGAGCTCCCCTTGACACCAGTATTCAGACCCAGTACCTCAAGACCAGAGCAAACACAGTTCAGCTCAGTGTCTGATTCTTTAACCTCTTCAGAGTTTGTGGCAACTCCAGGTGATGAAGCATTGCAACCCATTTTATTTCCTGAGCAAACACCATGGATAGCAGTTCTTCCATTTGCAAAGAAGGATGAAGCATCATTTAGCAGGCAGTTTTCAATTACAATGTGCTCAAGGCTGGCATGTTTTGCATCGCACATGAAGTCTGATTTTGACAACTGCCCTGTAACCACATGGCTTTGAAAGTCTTGTCTGCAGTCTGATGTTCTCCCAACCCAGGGCTCATCTATTGTTGGTGTTCCAGGTGAGTTACAAGTAACATCAGAAGGCAGCTTCATCGGGCCATAAGATGCGGTATCTAGATTGTCTTCTAGCCTAGAACAAACAGGTGACCAGGCAACATTTACTGAAGAAGCTTGTCCCCAGGCATCAGCAGAGTTCTGATGCTTCAGCATTTCATATGGTAACCTACAGATCTCCTGACAATTTACTTCCTTGACGTCTTGATGATGAACTTGCAATTGCTTAGGCAAGATACTAGTCTCACTGGCATTTCGAGTCCCAGATGCACCAGATACTGTACTATCACTGCTTCTTACGGGACTCTTCATGTTCTGGCCTAAATCCAACTGTTCTGAATCAGATGATGTGGGAGAGAGCCTTGCAAAGAGCATCTTTTGATAATTATTTGATCCTGCAGTTTCTACCATTCTACGCTGTTTCACTGCTCTGACTCTGTCAAGCCAGGTTACAGGGTAAGGCTTTCTATGGTGGGCTGACAGCCCATCAGTAGCCATGCTGTCTTCACTGTAAGGATTCAAAGTTATTAGTGATATAATGATGACCAAAAAAAATGAGAAAACCATCATACTATATACTACTCACTCTTGCATTACCACAGTCACTATTTAAAACCTGCAGCAATTGTTTTGCTTTAAAGTTTAAAAGAAAAAGGCAGAAAGTCATTGGGACAGGCATACAAAATCCTAACAAATTCCATCTTGACCAAAGAAGAGCGGGTTCCTATGGATTACTTCCTTCTGTAGCTTAATTTCTAAATATATATCATAGATCATTTACCACAACAAAAAGCCAATACATGTGGCAGGATACTTCCAGACCTGAGAACAGAAGATCCCTTGTCTGTCCAACAGAAGATGGATGTCCCCATCCATCAGTTTAACCACGGTTCACTGAAGACCATAGCACCGAGTATTTTACAAACATTTCTATCAGTAAAAACACGGAGTAGAAAAACAATCCATGCAGCAGAGCACTTACAATCCAGGTATAATATGAGAGACATAAACCCAGGAAAGCACATGAAAAAAATGAGACTATCAGTCTCTTTAAAAAGCAGCAAGAACCATGCTGTAATGCTCTCTATATTAAAAGGGGCAGTATGTATTTTCTGAGGGTTAGAATTGTTAATGTGGAAGGCTTAAAATTTGATTTAAGAGAAGCCACGTGCATTATATAGGTATTTGTGCGGAACTTCTAACCTTGTAACAGCAAAAAAAACCTGGAAAGGTACAATAAAAAATGGCTGGACTCTAGTGATGCAGTACCCTGTCTTAATGGATGACCTGACAGTTACACCGAGCACCAGAAGGAATAACATTTAGAATTCATTCACGTAACCTGGCTTCAGTGCAACACCAGCTGGTGGATACCATGGAAGGAAATAAACATCCAGTGTTTCTGATCTAGCAAAGATGGAGCCTAACTACCTTCTCTAGCCTGTGTGAAGTGTTTGGTCCCCTTTAGAGATGGAACTCCTATAACTTTACAATTGTAAGTTGTACAGATCTAAATAAAAATCTAAGGTGGGCCAAACTCAACCTGTCTTGTAAATAGCGCTCAGATTCCAGACCAAAATGTGGAAGGCTCTTGTTACACCTTCCCACAGACATCACAGAGGTGAAGAAACAGTTTTTGCTAGTGCAAAAAGAGCCACAATGACTCTTCATTTTTCAAAGTGAATATGCAGTCCATGAAATACCTACCTATTAGAGGGTGTGGATGTCACTTCAGGAGGTGAGGGAGTAGAAAATAAACTGGTCCCATTCTTTTGTTTAGTTTCATCATATATTAATTTGTCATCTTTGTGTCTTCGTTCCAATTTCTGCTCTTCATCTCCTGACAGAAGGCTTGCTAAAGATGCAGCCAAGAAGCTGCTGTCTGTACAAAACAGGAAACAAAACCATACCAACTTAGCCATTTATGTTTAGGCTTCAGAGACTACAGTGATTAAAACCAATCTTGGAACTGCCTTGGTCTGTCTTGTCCCAAAGGAATTGAGTATAAAAGACTTGATTAAGGCAAAGTGATCCAAATGTGAGCAATCCACTCTACTTTGGCCTGAGAAGTCATCACAAGCAGGCATCTAAATGTTTCTGGGCTGCTAAGGTTTGCCTTCCAATCAAAGCTCTTGGACAAGTATTAGCTGTCTGGGTTAGCTACTTGAATTGAAGTTCAGAGACCTATAAAAAGGGCCAATGACTATACAAAGTCTGGAAAGAACGTTATCATACAAATACCAGCAGCAAAAAAAAAAAAAAAAAAAGCCCAAAACACACAAACACTCCCCATTCCAGACACTTAAAATGAAAGGTTTAGACTGCATTTATATAACTCACTGAAATTGCAAGACAAAAAGTATAGAATCTAAACATGTTTAAGAGAAAGAATAAGACAAGAACTTCTTTCCTTCCCCAGTGACAACAAATCAAAAAAGAAAAACCACAAGTTTGTAAAATGAAGTAAACCAAGTGAACAAATCTAGATTCGAATCTAGAATAATCCTTCCATTTAGCAAAGACTGACTGCCAACAATGCTTCTTCACAGAACAACTGAATTACTCCTAGATTAGGGGCATCACTTCAACAAATACCTAAGAAATTGAACATTGTCTACTAACTCTGCTTTGTTCCACTAGTGTGCATTGGTTTCAATGCAGATGTGCATTTCTAAGCAAAGCAAAGAAAAAGAAAACAAGGGGGGAAAAAAACAACAAACAAACAACGAAACTAAGGAGACAAAACCAGCATAAAAGATCTCCTGAGATACGGAAGAAAGTGTGCACTTGCTTGTGTTCTCTGTTTTGGGCAGAGCTAGCTGGAAAGACAGATTCAGAGATGTGAGGCTTCCTTGCTTCTGTTTATTCCTTTCGCGGTCAGAGAAATACAACCTTAATAAATTCTTTGTAAATGCAGCAAACTGCATCAGAGGAATATGAGATGCCTCCTCACTGAAACACCACAACATTGAATATTAGCCAGCAACATGAGCCAGTTCAGAGGACTATTAGAATATTCCCTTAAAATATTAGTCCTGAGTATCTATGGCTCTGCTGCAATACTGTCACAAAAGCTTTATTTTACCCAGTCTTAAAACACTCAGACATTCTAACAGGGGAGGGAAAGGGAAGTGCTCGTTAATACAAAGCATTCTTTAACAACAGTGTAATTTCCAACTTGGATATTCAGTTTCATCTTCTTAGGAACAAAGAGGGAAGCACAACCTTAGGTGAACAATTCTGTTCATCTTAAGTTTATAGTGGAAATCCAATTTAAAAACTGCATGGAGGTACTTGCTTTTCAAAGCATGTTCCCATGTTCACTGGCAAATCTCTCGTCTCTATTCATTTTACCTTTGTTACAGCAGCCAGAGCCAGCTGTACGGCAGGCAGCAACATCTTCAAAGATGCACTTGCTCTCTGTCCCCGTGGAGTCATCAAGAGGAGGTAATGGCAAAGAACAGTCACTGCTTCTCTCCATGTTGTTATAGAAACCAGGGATCAGGAATGTAATGTTCTAAAACACAGAATGAAACCTTATAAAGCTAAGCTGACTTTCACAGGTTGGGGGCAAATGCTAACAGTCCGTTTGTGGACCTGATTCTGATTAACAGCCAGGCAAAAGTGATCTACGTGACTGATGGAGAACATATACTTGAAATCCGTTCTAGCTCCTCAGAACTGCAAGGCTTACCGATTACAGGGAATTTGCATATCGTCCTACAACTCGGTTGCCGAACACAGGGAACACAGAGCTTTTGTCACAGAGAGAACTGAGTGTAAAAGACAACTTTACAATTCCAATGGATATGCTGCCAGACGTGGAAGTCTTTTGGGAGGGATTAAAACTCCTGTCTTACCTTTTCCAACAGTTCTTTCTTCTCATAGCCAAAGAGCATTAAAGCAAAACTATCCTTGATGCCACAGATGGTTCCATCTGACCGGACAGTAATAAGACCACTGATGGTGGAGAAAACCACGACTGTAGCAGAGTAATGATAGCCTGTGAAAAAGCCTTCTTTTTCTGTCTGCAGAACACCATCTTTCTGCACTGCTGTTTGGTCCTCCTCCAGAAGGCTTACTTGCAGCTTTAAACTGAGAGGAAACATGCTACCCTCTCTGGATTGGCCTACAGCTCGCTGGATCCTGAGGTTCTAAATTAAAGCAAAAAAAAACCCCAAAAAGCAAAACAATAAAACAAAACACAAACAGAAAACCTCTAACTGACCAAATGTTTTGGTTTTATTTCAGTATTTGTATGAAATTACACAAGAACGTTTTCAGGAAAAAGGAGCAGGAAAAGAAAAATGAACCAATCCTGTAAATATTTAAATGAAGAAAGTCTGGTTTTCTAAGGATTTGGAATCCAGTGTTGAACATCTGTATGACTATCCTGATGATGAAGACCAGGAAAGTACATGCTGCAGCTTTTCAGCAAATGAGGCATTAATAGGGCTTCTTTCAACTATTTAGTTCCCCCTTTTCCTGGCATTCGCAAGATCTGGGTATTCATTAGACTCCTCAGACAGACATGACTGAAACTGGCTAAAGAACTCAAAGGAATTTTAGGGAGCTGACAGAAACAGCATCATTCTTAAAATGCCAGGATTGGAGAAAATTGTCTTTCACCAGGACAGATTCCACAGTGAGAGGTCAGGGCTCAGTCTCATTCCTATTTAGGAAATATTCAGGTCCATAAATAAGCACCATACCCTTTTTCAGGGGACTTATGCTTCTCTCTGAAAAGGTTTCCTTCTGTTACATAAGGACGGAAAACAGTGTGCACCTGTGTTCCAAATGGGAAGGGTATGGAACAACGTGGTTGGTGCTTATACTATACCTTTGGGATTTTTTTGCCTAGAGGAGGGATTTGCAGAGAAGGAATCAGGTCCTTTATGCAGAGCCCAACTACTTCTTCCAATGTTGGGTAGCCATGGAGATGGGCAAAAAGGAGGTCACATGATGTAATCTCTCCCTTGGGAAGAAAATTTACAGGACTATTTTAATTTTCGCATTTTAGCCACAGTCCACTCAATCCTTTAACAACAGATTCTGCAAATATCTAAGCAAATGGCAGGAAGTTTCATTCTGCAGTCTCTTTGTGGATACAACTACCGCAGTAAAAGCAGACACAGCATAACACAATACTTCTCTGACATTATTGTGCAGAGAGCCTGCCCTTCGCCATAGGGGAGAAGCAGAGGAGTTCAGCCCTCCTCACAGAACTTTTCCTCAGCAAGCTGATCCCTTCACAAGGGCATCCCTACCACAAATAACCAACCCCCTGCCAAACTGTCACTGTTTAAGTCCAAGATGTCCCCAGGAGACAATGTGTCTTAATGGGACTTGTCCAACACATCAAGGTGAGCTACATGGGAGAAACATGCACAGGTCCTGCATATGCAATCCCAGTTTCATACAGTGCTATGTACACACTTCATGTTCAAAAATGAAGTAATGTGCCTACTGTCTTTTAGACAACGTTTCATTTGCACATAAACTCTCACAAACTATGGTCTCATTTGATCATTAGGGAAACACTCACGTCATCCCTGAAGGAAACAGAAGCTGAAAGTCTTTCCACTGGTTCCAGCACAACCACACAACACTGGTTGTCCTTGCTTCTTATTCGCCTCAGCCAGATCGAGACAGGGATCTTCTCTTTGAAACGGCCTATAACATCCACCTTTCCATAGGATTCAGGGATGAACTCATAATTTAGTAAGTCTATGGTTACTTAACAAGAATTTCAAGCAAGAATAAGATATTGAGCCAAGATATTGTTAGAAAAACATCGTTCCTTGACCCCTTTTTTATTGGAAGAAACACAGTTTTAATATGGAGATTAAAAGGTTTTCAAATAATTCACTGATCACATACAAAAAGTCATTGTTGCTTTTGTATCTTCTTTCCCCAGCTCAGGAAGGCTTTTCCTTCAGCATAATAAATACCTTGCATTCAATAAGAAGTGCCTTTCAGGGATGCCTTATTTAAGAGATGTTCCATGGTGCTAATGAATACTCCACATTAGTAACAGTTCTTACTGCAAAAATAGCAGTTTAATTTCTTACAGGAAGAGATTCTTCTCAAATCAGAAAATGTTTATCTCATAACCTGCAGTGTTCACATCAAGCCTTATATAATTTTTACGTTATCTTGACAGAATGGGTTTATGAATTACGCAATGACTCCTATAAAGTACTTGGAATGGCTGTAGCTTCGAATTAGTGCCTTTATCAGACATTTCATTTTAATCCTGGATTTCACCAAATCATACTTAGATTTCTCCCCCCCACAATCCAATTGAGGATTCAGGAAGATCAAGCTCTGAGATGCTGACAATTTCACTACAAAAATAACACACCAGGAAGAACAGGAGCTTATTTTCCAAATATTTTCTAGTGACAGCTCACGACAGCAGCAAGAGAAAATAATTTTGAGAAATTTCTCATGCAGTTCTCTTATAAACACCACCACTATGGGCAAAATATCAATTCCACTTTTTGCACCAACTAGGGTGCTTTGGCACAGACATTTTACAGTATGTGACTGACTTGTAACTTTATAATATGTACAATGCAATTTAAGATAATTTTAAATATTTTAAAAGATCAGACCATTGGGAACTTTTCTATAATATGGTTTTCCACATTAAGCAATCTATATTGATTAGTTTTAATCTAATGTCCTTTAAATTCTGATTCAGTCGAGTCATCATGATGATACAACTTGGCAGCTGCAAGGCTCTCATGGGTGCCTCCCAAACCATCTTTTGCCCTGTGCATTCCCATGTCTGCAAACTTTTAAACAAAACAGTCCTACAAATGACATAACTGCCAAATGCCCGTGAAGTTAAATATATCAGGAAATTATATTGAAAATGTAAAAAAAAAACCCCAAACCCACAAACCAAAGCCTATAAAAACACTGTATATGGTGGGGAATATTTGCTTGAATATTTCACATACCACAGTTCCTGAAACCACCGATGAACATTCATCATTTTCTATGTACTCCTCACCCATGGCTTCCCATATGTCTTGACTGGATTTGGATATCAAGCGGGACAGCTTTTGACCAATGAGTTCCTGACTACTGCACCCAAGCAGCTTGCAGGCTTTGTCATTAGCCACTAGGATCTAGAAAAGCAGGAAAAAATAACAAAACAGCAAAACAAAGAATAAAAGCTGTAAGTTTTGTTAATAGATCATCACCTCCTCAGGCTGTTGCTTTAATGTCTTATAATATCCCTTCCTCTCGGTGGAAATGGAGTGGTTCTTTCAAAGTCTGAAACTTTCAAAAACAGTTCACTGAAGCTTCTTATTCTAGGACATCCTTTACCCTTGTGTCTTCTTGGTTAGGAGGGTTTGAGACATTGCTGTCCTTTTAGGTTTCCTGCCTACCTGCTCCAGCCTCTAGTGTCATTTAAATAATTACATCCACAGAGGCAAAACTACAAGTTGTATTTGCAGGCAAGGCCCGGACAGACCACAGAATGTTACCCACACCTGAAGGCACGCAGTGATCACACCAGTCATCAACACACTTAACTCTGTGTTACAGACCAAGCCAGGACTAAATGCCTTTAAGATGGGTAAGCCCGAACTGTCAGTTCAAGCTAAAAATGGCACAGCTCTTTTAAGTTTTCAGTACTGAATTTTATATTAATGTTTACCCTCAGGACAGAAACAGAGACTTTCCCTCCCAATGCAAAAGGCAGATTTACTGCAGCAGATAGAGACCTTGTGCCACCACAAAACCATCCCAGGTTTGGCACTTAACAGACAGAAGGCTTGAAGCACATTCTGCTTTTCCTTTCTCCCCTCATGCCACATCACAGCTGCATTCTTCTTTATTCCCTCTTTCTGTTTGAAAAAGACTCAAGGCATCCATGCTTCTGCTATTGTCCTGTATATTTTGCTAACTACAACCTGCCATGGAAACAAACTGTTGTCAGTCTTTGGAAGACTACTAAGCTTGACCAGACTACAAAATGCCTTCATGACGCTCTGCCTTCCTGCAGATACACATTAAGAATAACAGGTGTTTTAGCCCGTCTGATGTCATACAACCTATGCCAGTTACCCAGTTTAGCAGTTACTACTACAAATACCTCTGTTGTGTTGACATCCATGGTGAAGACGGCTTTGTTCAGATTGCGTGCAGTAGTTGGGAGGTGCTGGCTGGACTCCTCCACAGCAAGGGCATGCAAAAAGGAGCAAGAAGAACTTCTGGTGGAAGTGGAGAGAGAGGCAGAATCCCACTGAGCCCACGAGTTACCAATTTTGCTGGCACAAATGTTACGAGCTGCCAGTGAAGACAAGCAGTAAGAGCTCCATTTCTCCCCTGTGAGAAGATACAGATCAGCTATGTAGCTATAACAGTTTGCTACAGGAGTATTAGAGGAATGAATAAAAAAATTAGTTGTCAGCTGAAGCAACTGTCAAGTAATCCCAAGATATATGCTTCAAAATTACAAGAAATTATGAGAAAATAAAATCAATAAAACTAAAGAAAACAGAAAAAATTCTAATGAACATATCTTTTTGAATCACAGCCACTGGAACAATTCAACTCAGTCCACAGGCTAGAAAAAAATTGCCAACATCAATAAGATTGAACCAGACTAGTCAACTTTTATTTTTCACTTAAGTTAACAGAGTTTAAAATGTTTTGAAATGTCTCAAGTTAAAATTGAAACTGCTATTAAATATAATTACAGTAAGTGTTCAAACCCTTATTAAATCTTGCATTAGTCAGAAGCCAGTGAATTAACTGTTCACAAGACATGACACTGAAATACCTGTGCCTACACCAATGTTTTATGTTACACAATGCCAAATGATTGTACCAAAATTTTCAATAGTTCTGCCTGTAGAAAATGTTTCCCAGGGAAGTGGCATCAGCAGCCAAATGCCATCGCTCCACTCCCAAAACAGTAAGCAGCTTTGAAGGTTTAGCAGTACTGGAAGGAGCATTATAAACAAGGACACCTCTGCATTTATGCTCCACATACAGTTATGAATGTGCTCACCATAAGAAAACAGGGAAACCTATACCTGGACACATTGTAAACTGATAAGTTCTTCCCCTCCTAACATAATTCGGTATAACATCTTTCCCCCTGTTGGAAAGGTTTTGTGTTTTAGATACTAATACAGGCTGGCAGGGTGGTCCAATGGCAGCCAATAAAAGTTGCCCAGGGACAAGTACAAGCGCAGACCACCTACCCAGCAATGCACTCCCTGAAAACTCTCCCAGCCTGCAGTAACCTATAGCTCAGATGCTTACTGAACAAGCGCTTTCTGGCAGCTACTCCTTGCTACCGCCTCTAGGTTTGGGCCAGGGAAGAAAGATCTGAAACAGTCTGAAACACAACACCTTCACTGATGACAGGTGAACTCAATCTCAAAATACTGCGCTCACCAGACAGAGATGCTCTAAGCCGGCAGAGTTCAGACAGCTGACTTTTCTTGCTCTTGCTGGCCCAGGGGTAGGATCTATTTAGCTTATCAGAGTCGTTCAAATGAGCAAGGACTAAGCCTACTGATGAAGGCAGACAGCCCCCTTCAGAGGGGCTGTAAGCCTTGGCTGCCATGATGATGCTCTGGTTGCCACTCCGCACCTAGGGAGCCACCATCTGTAACAGAAACATCAGAAATTCAGTCAGCCTTACAGTCAGCTGCTAATGCTCGGGACGCTGGCAGGTAACGATACCTCCTGAGCCAAAGCACAGCCCTGTAAGTTACAGCAAGACTGCTGTTCATTCTTCTGTGTCCCCGTCAATGTTTGACCTGTGCTGTTGATGCAGAGGTAACTCTGTTGACAATTATCCTGGCCATATAGGATATCTGGGATCGACAGGATGCCTCCACCATATTTCTGTAAGTGCTACCAGCACCCAGCCGGCACCCTTGCCGTTTTAAACGCAAAAGTTTTGCTAGCTTGGAAAGTAATTCCCGGTTTTCAGTCAGCAAGTGTAGCATCCTCCTCCCTCCCTCCTACCCACCCACCCAGGCTGCCGCCCGCACTGCCCACCCTCCCTCCGGGGGCTGCAGCCCTCGCCCGGCGGCAGTGAGGGCCCG